ATCACACCACAGAGAACCAGGTGTATCATATTTGCATCAGTAAAAAATTCAAGTCAGTGGAAGACGTGAGAACCAGGGGAGGCGGTTGAAACAGCTTCAGGTTATCACCTGACTGTGGCCAAGATGAAGCTGAGTTAAAGAAGCACTGGACAACTGGAGAAACAGCATCCAAAAGGCTTAGTATAGCTTTCCTTCGACATACTAACAAAACTCGTCGAATTCAAGATAACTCACACTAACAGGTTCCAAGTTTTACAAGATGTACTTATAGAAGAGGAAGCCACTATGAAGAACAGCTGGAAATGGATTTATGGAGCACTAACTTCGGCGTGTAGCGATGTTCTGGGCCGTACCAATCAACGGCAGGTCACGAAATCATTTCAAGGACTCAAATTCGAACCTAATGAAGAGCGCCTCCAATCAACAAAAAGTAATGTCTGACTGTACCTGTTGTGGAAGATAACTCACATAAATCAAGAAAAGAAGAGGTCCTAGTACTGAACTGTGTGGAATCCCACTAGGACATTCCACAGCCTGAGAGAAATTGAAGTTAATCCTGACCTTAAAATATCGATTTTTCAGATATGAAGTGAGCCAATCAATTAGAGGTGGTTTGATGCCCAATCGTTTGAGCTTATTGATAAGATATATACGGTCAACCCTATCAAAAGCTTTTGAGAAATCAAGGTAAATGATATCAACCTTCCCCTTGTGATCAAGGATGCTTGTCCATCTGTCCACCTCAGTCAGTAGGTTAGTTATACAAGAGTAGCCCTTCCTGAAACCACGATGTTGGGGTGAGAAAAAATTTAAGGACAGTAAATAGTCATGTATACCGTCGCATATAAGGGACCACATAATTTTTTAAGGTAAAGAGAGAAGAGCCAACGGTCGATAGCTTGAAGTTTCCCTGCATCGACCTCCTTTGAAAATTGGTGTGATGTGAGCCAGCTTCGAAATTTCCGGTAGTTTGCCTCGGCTGAGCGAGTGTGAGAACACCACGTTAAGCGGTGTTGACATGATTGGAACTGCTTCCCTCAGTATAGCAGAGTGAACTATATTTGGGCCATGAGAAGTGCCTTTTCTTGGGTGCTGCAGTTTCCGGAACACTAAGTCAGCGCTCAGGTTCACTACGGAAAGTCCTGTGAAGTTGCAGATGAAGCTGTCATCACTATAGTTAATGTGGGTCGGTTGAAATTTCCGAGAGTATTGTTCAGCCAAAAGGTTAGCGGCCTCGCCGTCGTTATTGGTCGGGCCCTTGAGACTTAGCAGTTGCGAAACTCCATTTTTGGTTTGACGAAGACAGGCTGCATAATGGAATAAACTTTTCGGATTGGAGACAAATTTATCCATAAGCTTTATCTGATACTGAAGTCTGTCTTCTCTTATAGCCTTCGTGCATATGTTTCTTATATGTTCTTATTGCATGTAGTAGTAATACTTTCTTGGTAAAACAATCACTTCATCAATAAGTCATGTTGTTTATAATGTTATTGATGTACATTAGAAAGTCAATCCGTATTGTATATTGTATTCTGTTGGCATATTTTAAACTATAGTTGCACACACACTATGCTGGTGGATTAAGTGAAGAAAAAAATCATGTTTTGCGAAAAGATAAGATCTGATTAGTCGTTGATTTGTTAATCCTAGTATAGTTTGCTTAGTTGTGAGATCTCTATGCATTAATCGTAGTAAGGTATGTTAATACTGGTGAAACAAACTATTGAGAATGGTTTTAATATGCAGTGCCATGGGTTCTGACAGTCCCATTTGACAATCACTTGATGAACATGAATGGTTTCAGAAGCGTCAAGCTCTAGGTTGGTTATTCTAGAACACTTATAATTACAGTTATAGGTGGGGTGGTATTTTATAGTATATTCCAGCTAGTAAATCTTCACAGAATGACGAATGATAAGTTCTGGATGTCGGTTTGAAAATTAGGCAGTTAGTAAATGCCAATACAATAGTTGATCTTATTAAGTTTTAGCCAAGGCCTATATGACTACCAACTAATATTCACGGTACTAGTATGGACTCGGTCAGTCAGTTGACACACCGGCAAGACGAACACTGGATTCATAGAAGCAATTAACTCACTGGTGTAACTAATAATGGGAAGGTTTTATGTAAGGATATAGTACAGGAAGAAAGATGTGGGGCGATTTTAATTTCATAGATTAAGGAAAGATAGTGTATACACCGACGCCATTGTGCGGATCCCAACCAAGTAGTCTGCATCTACCAACATGGCTCAGACCAGAAGTTAGTGACTTTATGGATTGATGCCACGTTTTGGTTTGGCCGCCCGTAAATTTCTTCTAACCATCCCCAACACCGGTTAGTATTGCACATCATGGTAATCGGTGTCCAGGCATATGTAACACGTGGCCCAACCATCTCGGTCAATGGAAATTCACAACCTCATCAACTGATTTACCATCATTCCCTAATACCCTGCGTCTAACCTCACTATTACTTACCCGGTGATCCCCGCAGATGCGAGCGATATTCCTAAGATGCCTATGGTCAAATGCTAGTAGCACTAGTACGAACTGTTTTCAGTGCTAGAGTAAACATGACAATGATACTTTTAGCTTCCAGGAGATTCCACTCAACTGCGGATCTCATGAGATTTGCCCAATTGCCGAACCTAGTGACCGCCAATTAAACTGGAAAGTGTAACTTGTCTGGTAAATTAGTGGCTGGTATATGTGCCGAAATAGTGTATGTTGTACAATGAAAGTCACGACGAGTTAGGACTTTATTAATTGAGCTTTAGTATAAATCACTTTATCAGTGGTATTTTAAATACTGTCATCGATTGTCTCTATCTTATTTTGTTTATGCTGCTACCCAGGTTCAGAGTCGTTGATGTAGTTCATGACCGATTTAAACCTCGCCCGAATGTGTGGCGATTAAACATATCCATGAAGGAGTGTACTTTATTAATGGACTGGTCACTTGATACTAATTCTTCCTTTGAGGAAGCATTATTTTAGTCTAAAAGTACGTTTAGCTCCGTATCATTCCTCTTTATATCACACATAATTCTAAGTTGACCGACCAACTGTCCATCATGGAGAAAGAACGATATCATGAAACATCTCAGTTTTAGGAAGATTTTGGGACCCCTTCATCTCCAGTGGCTCAAACAGTTCATATCCATTTGCTGTAAGACTAAGAATACATACAAGCATTGGCGAAATTAGGGAAACAATAGATCCAAGATTCCCAGAGACGTCCCAAAACGTTGTTCTTCTATATCAAGAGATGAACTTGAGAAAAATCGAACCCCACCGCAGGAAAATTCACTGGTAATGGGGAGTGAATGCATTGATATGTCGATAATAAATGTACAGTTTTAAAAGTAATTCCACAACTAGTGACTTTATAATTTCCGCCTTCATGAGACTCACAAACAAAGAAGTGTATATCCAAACTATCCTTAGTGTATGGTAACACACCACTTCGGTTGGAACATCTGTTCCTATCACTTATTACGTAGGTGTAACCTAATGGTTTTGAAGTTATTTTATAGTCATATACTAACCAAGTTTCGGTCAAAGCTAAAATAGATGGTTTCAGCTCACCCATTAATATCACTAGGTCACGAAATCTGTCAGTCGCAACGTAAACCCTTGTACACATGTAAATCAGTTCAAGTTGCCTTACCCCATGATCACAGAGGAATGAGATTGTCAGCCCTAATCTCAGGATAATAGCGCTAGTATCAGTATGCGTGGTAATAGAAAAGATCAGGCATCTAAGACATGATTCAAGAAGATATAAATTAGTGAGATAAAAGCAAGAAGTTTATGAGCAATTCAAAAGCTCAAAATCTGGGGGAAGACAAGGAATGGATTCATTTGGGTTTTAGAGAACGATTTTTAACCATTTCATACAAGGTCTCTAACCACTGGTTCGTTTTTATTAAATTTCTGTCCTCAGCAATACCTGACATCAACTCAATGGACATAATCACTTACAATATGTACTCTAATGCGTATTTAGTAGAATATACTGGACATCCAAATGTCTTGGATATGGCCTTTGACCTGCTCTCAGTTTTTTTATTCCTAAATTTCATTATGTTCGGGCTAACATATTAAACATTTTTGAAGTTCGTATTTATACTATTCGAATTCATCTCTATCGATTCCTTAAAATCAGTTAATAGAACCTTATCTTCCACACGTTTTTCTCGCCTTCATCTTTTTGTTTCATTCATTTCAATATGGTTTCCCGTTTGTCTCATGTAAGGTACCCGAATTATTCCCATCTTTCTAATTTATCCTTTCATTCGTTTGTACAACATAGATGTACTTGTTGAGTGTTATCTACTGGGGACTTTTCCCCAACCTTTTATTTATATGTCTCACTTTAGTGAACACGGATATTTTCTCTTCTAATAAAACGTTACAACAAGTGTGACTATTAGGGTTCTAATGAAAGTTGGACTAGTAGCGTATGTTGATTTGTGTATGGAAAAAACTTTCGTAACCAAATTTCTTCTAGTTGTTGACATCCTCGTTTTCACAACTCTGTTTTTAGACTGTGGGTCACCCGTAACTACAATAGTATTAGTTTATACTCGTTGATTGTCATACAACTTGTACTGGTAACCATCGCTTTTTCATTAATCAGTTCACAGTACTGTCATATAAATAAAAAATGTAGTTAAATTTTAGTAATTCATATTATGTTGTCGAATATAGGTTGATGTGAACACTTGACTGTTGACCCTGTTAATTCTAGATGAGTTATGGTTTATCCGATCACTTATACACACAACCAGCGATAGATCACATGTTTAAACTGTGTTGCCTGTTAAATGGTCAGTTCATCCAGTTTTTTGTTATGACTAAAACATACTAAGCTTGGGTAAATTCCCTTTTATTTTACTGCAGTAAGTTCAACATAATTACTTTTTATATGAAGATTCATTGTCTTTGTGTATTTGCTCTAGTTTGTTGTTTTCCAGATCTGCTAATCAAATGGATGACCTAAAAGCATTGCTTGATGCAGAGCAGGAGAAAGTGACCAAGTTGAAAGCTCTTGTGGTAAAAGAGAGAAAAGTTAACACAAAAATCAAATCAGAATTGGAATATCTGAAGTCACTGCATACCAGGACTCATCAAGAAAGTGGTGGAACCGTTGAAAAATTTGATAAATCGTGTTGTACTTCTGAATTTTCAAATGAATCCACTTGCATGAATGAGGCACTATCATCAGAGCTTGTAAATACATCGGTAGAAAACGCTGTATTTAACGAACATAAAAGGAATTTCCGTGTGTCAACCAACGATATTGATGATAAGACGGCTGAATATGTAACTAAAATTCCTGTTTGTATAATTTCAGCCTCTTCTTCTTGTGAGACATCCTCTAAGGATTCATTGCAGAGTTCTGACAAACATCTACATGTACCCTGTTTAAATGAAACAACTATAGTTCCTGTTAACTGTCTATGCGTTGCAACACAAGTAGACAACTTAAATAATTTTGATGGTAAGGATTCACCATTGTTACAACAGTTTAACACTGCATTACAGTCATTAAAGCTCAACAATAGAAGTAATCTATCAAAAGATGAATTAAAATTGGTATTTACTGAATGTAACAGATTATTAGAAGAGATCGATCTCTGTTCAACTGATAATTATCATGTACCTTTTAATCATTCCTCATCAAAAAGTGAAATAATAAAGCTTGAAAATTTTTGTCGAACTCTACCAACAGATTTAAATCAATATTCTCACTCATTAAAACAGTCTTTTACTAAGCAAAAAGAAGAACGAAATTCTCGCCATAACAAACTTTCAAATGAATTAAAACATGTTCATTCAGATGATGTGTGTGATGAAGAATTACATATTTTAGAGCAAAGAGTAAATGAGTTAAAACATAGTGTTGAATATGCTGAATCTTCATTTAATCAACTATCAAATAAGCTTACTTCAGTTACTCATATAAATGAAGTGTACAATGCTAAATTATTACAATTACAAACAAAATATAATGATAATTCATTGGATATGACACAATCATTTGTTAAGTTGAAAAGTTTATTATATGATTCTTTTTTATTACCATTGATTAAATACCATCAAGAAGTAAACAACAATAAACAATGTAATTTGAATGTGGATTATTTTATTTGTGATAATTTTCAAGATGATACTGTTAGTAAAGTTGCAAAGAGTCTAAGCGATTTCCTTGATGAATTGAAACAAATTATTAAACACTATTACACATTCAATAATAAGTGTATTACATCGTCCAATGTATGCATTCCGACTGACTATAATGAAGCAAATATTGAACAAGAGAAACTGCTGTTGGATAAATTGAAAAGTACAGAATCTGAATTAATTAATGCGAATGAAAAGATTCTAATCTCTGAGAATCTAATTTCAGATCTAAAAAGTCAACTAAAAAATTCTGATGAAAAACTACATCGTATGAAAAATCTTTTAGTTAAAGTTAAATTAGATGCAACTGAACAACAGAAGAAACTTTTAGAATTCCAAAAAAGTCAATCTGTAAATGTTGAAAATAATCAAGAATTGAATCGTCTGACTGAAAAATTATCTAATACTGAAAAGGAGAAAGAAAATTTGCTGTGTAGTCTGACACAATTGCGTAGTGAATTAACTCAACAACATGTCTTATGCGAAAATCTCCAAAATGATAAATGTTTAGCACTGGATCGACTTCAAAAGTTACAAAACGAATATAATGCATACAAAGTTAAGGTAAATGTTAATCCTAATAAATTAAAAAAAACTCTTCGTAACTCTAGTATTTGGTATATAAATATGATTTAGTGATTGATAAGTTGAATATGATAATTTTGCTTAGAAGAGGGAGAAATGTCAATCTTCCGTGCATGACTGTATCATAAGTGATTCCTCTCACTTATCTACCACTCTGAAACTTTGTTTTACCTTGTAACTTACCACTTATCGGACTAGATTGATTAGCTCCTTGATGATGTCCTTACATTTCAAAATTTTTAGGTGAATGTACTTGCATCTCATTTCATAATCAAACAAATGTTTTACGTCATATTAACTTCATACTAATAACGAAAGGACTACAACTCATAGTCACACATGATAATATTTACGCTTGTCCAACATGAAGGACAGCGAATTATGATTCACTAGTGGGAAGAAATCAAATAAATGGTTTTTGTATGTTTTAGTCGGTCAGCTACAACATAGGACCAGGCATATATATTCATCGGTCCAAGTTACCACACCTCATAGCACAACAAGATGAACACCAAATTTATAGAAGTAATCACTTCAAAAGTAGTAATATATAAAAGAAAGATTATGTTCGGTGATTATTATTGTCTCCGTTTGTTGTGAACTCTCTTATTAAGACCCAGCCACTCTTATCGCTTATTTTTCGGACACTATTTCACTCAAAATCAGAACACGGTTGAACAGGCATGTAATTATATTCCAATCAAATAAGGTTGAATATGAGTAAGAATCATAATAAGAAAAACCCTAATATACTCATAATTGTACACGGGAAGATTCTAGAGTTTTCATTTGTCCACTGGCTCTCACTGGCTTATAAATGGCCAATCAGCGTACTCCGATACAATTCATCACGAGACATCTTTTAATCCAATCTATATTCCATTAACACTGTTATACCCACTAATTGGAGACTCACAAACTTTGTAAGCTTGACTGATAATCTATACATGATAGTAAACTGTGAGCGTTTGTTACATCTCTCTTATGTCCACTAAGTGAGCCAGTAATAGGTGGGTACAAAGAAAGGTGAATGACGTTACTGGACAGCTCTTTTATTGGGAAACTATATGGCCGATAATAGGATCCTTTTTTTATGGTAAAATATCTGTAATTTACTACAAATGAAGTTGGAATATATTTTCAACCCAATAAAAGTCATTCATTTTTAATTTCTTCACATTAGATTGGGCTAATTTTCATTATTAACTCTTTAAGTATTGAAATACTATTTGTCGATGTGTCGGAAAATTAAGGTTTTGTAGATTATATATATACTGAAGTTGTGTTAATTTATTTAATCGATCGTATTATTTGAAAGATTTTTTTCACTTCAAACTTTTTTTAATCTAAGGCTCAACTTGCTCTATGTAACGTACGCACTCTAACCAATCAGGTGAACACAACGGATACTAATAATAGTCCTAATTGTGAAGGGGTGAATACTAACCAATCTGATTTCGAAAGCAGATCATTTTATTATTCAAATGAATTAGAATCTATGAAACACAATCTTTTTGACGTACAAAATCGTATGAAAGAGGCTGAATTGCATGCGTCCTTAGCACAATCAGAATGTGATTTGTTAAAGAAAGAATTGATCGAAGTGAAAACAAGGTAAATACATTTTTATTATTTCCAAATACGTACTAAACAAATATACACTAATTAATCGATGGTATTCGATCTGTATCAAGAACTAAGTAAACATCACATTCGTTTAGACTCAGTAATCAGTCGGTGTAAATATCACGATTCTATATTAGGCCAATTGCGACCCAATTATCTGTCTCATTAGTAACGTCTGTCACAGTGAAACTAAGTAATACGGGTTCAAATCGTACAATGAGTATCAATTCACTAAAGGTTGTAGACACGTCTTGCTGATGACTGCTAACTAAAAACTAAGGTATAGGGATTCTTGCCGATTATCTCGAATCACTTAACACCCAGGTATCAGTAGTCAGTCAGCCATTATTAACGTATAACCTAATGCAAATGTATATTGACCTGATTAAGTTCGTCCAATGAGACCAAATTAACAAGATCAATAACAAAGGAGTTGAAATAGTTATATTATAAAAGATAGTGAGAAGAATTAAATATTCAAAATATGATCCGAAAAGAAGGTATGTATGGAACTCGAGATCTATGGGAAAATGAAAATGGGATTCATCTGTCTCATATCTGACGATAGCACATGATATCAAGTCAATTAAACCAGTAATCATATTGCATTTGATTGAATGAGTTCAATCAGCACCAATGATTAAAAACATGACACTGGTCATTACTCAGTGATCGATCAGTATAAATGACATAACTCTATCTCTTGACCTTTTATTGTTTTATTTTCCAGCACTATTTGATTTTAAATATTTGTAAATTACTAGGTTTTCTTGTTGCTATCACAAACCAACCTAAATTCTAAATCCATCGAAAATCACGAAGCACTGGACAGCTGTTTTTCTCTACTTTTATAACATTGATCGATTCATGATCTCAGTCAAAAGCTAACAATCTCTACAACCTAATACTGATTTTATAATTTATTTTGAATCAAGCAAGATAATCACTCATCCAAAATCAGATATTTCCAGAAGTTCATTTTGAGAATTTCTGAAAGTATGTACTTCTATAGAGCTTTAAGTATGTATCAAGGTACAGAAAAAAATCAGTGAATACATTTATCAGTAGTCCGTTTGTCAGGTTTATCACCAAGATAGATTGAGAAATGACGAAGTACGAATTAGAAACTGAGTAAACAAAATAAAGTTTACCTATTCATAAATTTATGGCTCAAAACCGTACTACGGTCGAGTTACTTATGAACAGTGTAAGAACTATGTATTTTTTTCACAGACACACTGAACTGTTATGCCAATCTCAAAAACAAAAGCAATCCTTAGAGGACCAACTAATGTCAATAACTCAACAATGTGAAAATCGTCTTTCTGCTGAATTTAAAGAACTAGAACAAAAGTATACTAGTCAACTACGTCATTATGAAGAACGACTTATGCTGCAAACTCAAAAATATGAAAGTGAATTGCGGTGAGAAATTTTTTACTATGTTTATCTAATGTAAATTTGGTAAGCTTCATTTCATTTTGTAGATATTACATTATGAGTTCTCACTTCAAAAAATCCTCGTTCATTTTGACTTACTTTAGTCTCTTGTACGTTTAGTTGTTCCCCTTATTCAATATTGAATTTTGAATAATAGGTTACAAGCTATATCCCTACCACTGTGTTCATCAATGATGTAAACGTTGTTACATATTCCATAGCATCTCCGTCAAGTGTGATTCGATTGGTGAATGCTGTGTTGTATCGGAGAATCTTGCTTTTCCCTTTGTGTGTGTTGAGACCTACTGCTGCTGAGGCTGCTGCTACACTGGTCGTCTTCTCCGAGATCGTCCAGCTGCATCCTAGCTATCCCATGCTTCCCCCAAGATGTTGACGTCTTCATGATCCCGTCGGTCACCAGGAGAAAGAGAAATGGTGAGAGTAAGCAACCTTGCCTGACACCGGTTCTTACTTCGAACGAGTATGTGAGCTGTCCTCCATGCACGATTTTGCAGTTTAATCCATCATAAGAATTCTGTATAGTGTTAACTATCTTCTCAGGCACGCCGTAGTGTCGAAGAAGCCTAGCATAGATGCATAATATATGCAATCAACTTGAAACCAAACATACAGAAAGAGGAAAATCGTCTGGCCATTCCACCATCAATTAAACAGCTTCATTGTTGTTGTTTTTTATTTTAGTCAAGAAAGAGAATTATGGGAGACAAAATTAGCCAGTATCATTCACACAAACCATTCACCCACTCAAAACTCGTACAGGTACGAACAGGCCTATGGTCATCGACGGAATTTCTCAATACCTGATAATTTGAATCCTTTAAGCGTAAGTGTTTTGGTCCTCCAGTACTATTTAGTAACAAACATTATAACTTGACATTAAATATAGTAAATAGTTTTTCACTAGTAATCTCAGTTCATAGTACACCTCTGTCAAGAATATACATCATTGTTGGTGTATTTTCTGTTTCGACAGCTTTAATGTAACTGATTGAAGTTGATTTCATACATACTTCTTTGATCCATCGTTTATTCTTGCTATTTATATCAATTATCTTTTTCGTGCTAGTTTGTGGCAGCTCATTGACATATAGCTTTGTCTGTCTTTGTTACTGAGAGTTAAAAAGCAGTTTAATATTATTTTAAGTATTCAAAATTTTCATGGTACTTATACTAATGTGGTGTGTGCTACTAATGTATCATCAATCGAAAGTGAAATGGCTGGCGGCAGAAGGTCAAGAAGATCGAAGAAAAGAGAATGATTGGTGTGGAAATGAAATAACGGTTAAGTCTGAGACGGTTGATCGACATTTTGCGATTGAAGTATTCACTATATGGTTCTCAGATTTTACTAAGACGTTCTGTAATTTTGTATTTGAATGTTTTCGATCGTCTCAAATTGTGCTCTCTTTCATTACATCAAGAGAACAGAAGTATATCAACACAAGGTGCAAAACAGAAATAAATCAATAGTATATCTTACAATATCCATTTTTCATAAGTTTTGGAATATAGGGGAATATGTTGCTTGGTAGAATAATAATCAGGAGTCTTGTGTCTATGACTTAATTTCTTCAACAGCCATCTTTAAAAGAACTAAAGCAGATTCATAATTACAATGTTTACATAATGTATTCTACTAGTGCTTCGCTATTTTAAAGCCTCATATCTTTGAAAAAAGTAAGATATATTTGGAAACTTCTGTATATAATAACGACACCTTATCTGGTTGTTACATTCATTCCATCATCCATGTTACGGTACGAGAATAAAAAACGACTTTTGAAATAAACCTTTAGACAGTCTCAAGTAAACCACATATCTGAACAGTGGCGAATAGATTAGATAACTTAGATAAATCTCTCCACACCAATAAATACGGTTTGCATAGGTGATAAATAAACGCATTTGTTCTCAGAATCTAAATTAAGATAAGATTATAAATGCGCTTATCTTTGTCTTCGACTTTTTGTTTCTGAATATCTACTCATTTGATAAACTTTACTCACTCTAATTCCTCTGTCATTGTCAAAACTTCTATGTTCAACACATCGAACTGTTTGAAAAGAGCAGGAAATTGGTCAGTTTTGTGGCATTATCATATCTATTTATTACTGTATTGTTTCGAAGCAGTGGCTTTTAATCAGAACACTCAACTTTGAACTAGTTACTTGTAAGTTGAGATACCGTTCCATGGTCTTCAGTTTAAAGCGGTCTATAATATCACTAAACTAGGTTTTCGCGTCGTGCGCTGCTAGGATCACTCCACTGCCAACACTAGTAGGTCACCATCCACCATCAACTTTGCCGGTCTAGACTCCTGCTGCAACGCCTCCTGCCAGTCCGCTGGACTTTCAACATCTGTAACCAACCGCTCTGTTACGGCCCCTCCATTTTCCCGTCGGCATTCTCTGTGTTGGTATACACTGCCTTTGCCCTGCCTCTCGGCAGCGTCTCCAGCATCACCATATTAACCTTGGGCTCCCCAACCCCCACCAACCCCGCAACATCCGCACACTTCAGGAAAGTCTGTACATCCCCTTCCTTAGACTTCGATGGTTACAGCATCTTCATTCTACGTAGAAACAGCGACACAAATTGTAAAGGATGAAAACGTGAACAAGCGAAAACTAGTTATGCCATCCAAAATTACACACTGCAGAATATGAAACCAATACATTAAATATACCGTTTGCATATCTTCCTTGAGTTATCCCTTACAAATTCCATCGGTGTGTCGTTCATGTTGTTACTCCGATTGCTCTCTGTTTTTGTTTTCTTGTTTTCTTTTTATGCCAGTAGGAATTCGATTTTCAAACCCTGCTACATACTACTTATATATATCCGTATAAGTAGCACACATCACAGTACTATCAAAAATAGGTGTGGGAAACTAGAGGAATAGTGTAATGATCATGATAAATAGCAGCTACAAGTTGAATATTAGTCGGATTGTAGAGTACATATACTACCGAGAGCATAGAAGCAACTCATATATTACTATGATTCACAGTAAAGTATCATTGTTCTGCAACAATTAGGGCTAAAATTAAGCAACTGTAGTAGACCTGTCTGATTCAGTGCATAACATCAATCCTTTATAGTTAGATCACTGTTTTAAGAAGTTCCATGATTACATACAGTTCCTGTAATTGTGAAAGATGAGGAACTTAGTTGCGTTCATGTCAAATAATATAAAAGAATTAGTATTTCATGAAATTTTTTCAGGCAAACTCTCACCATAAAAGAGTTCAAGGAGATGGAGCCGATAATTCCATGATTTCCCCCGTGGAATCTGATACGGAATCGGATCATGCAGTTAGGAATTGCTCTCTAAGTCACAGTGGAAGTGAGCGTTATTCATTGGCAGATGAAGAAAACTATAAGAAGTCTGTACATCGAGTGAGTTATTTATTGTATTATATTATTGCATAACTAAGTATCAGTTACAAAGTATAAAAGTAGCTTGCTCTATAGCTCAAGTTTTTCTGGATTGATAAACTTCTCTCCCAATCGGACATAACCAACATAAGATGGCGCCAGCTCAAACGTATCTAAAAAGAGCAATCGTTTATTATTTTCTTCCTCGTATATACCATGATATTATGTACGCTCTTGAGTCTACCTAGACCTACTACTCTGGCAAATTATGATCGGAAAACCTAACCCCATTATTCCATATAGGCCTGAACATTTCACAAACGATTATATCGCATCCTGCTTCATTTACCAGTCCACATGTTTGTGTGGGTAAATAGGGAGCAATTATCGAATAATACAAATAAGGGTATCTAGATAGCTTCCGAATAAACGTAAGAATTAGAAGACTATCAAAACGTATCAAAACACAGTTGAAATGTGTCAAAGAATTTACATTAACACAGCTTTTTAAACGTCGCATAGGAATTGCAAACAACGGTTTCTCAGGTTTATAGAAGCCTTGGCTGTCGGGGAATTCAAACCCCGATTAATGTGTACAAAAACAATTTTTCTTAATGTTGAGCCTACTCCAATAATATTTAAGATATTTTACGGCCTGGGGTAGTGTGACAAACTCCTATTATTTTCTATATTATGTTAATTTGTAATAATGGGAGAGGGATACAGGGGATCTCAATGCTATTCCGTATTTTTGTTTATATGAGCTTTTTCTACATGTGAAAAAAAAGTTTAAACAGTTTTTAGAATTTTATAGTGTTTAATAAACATCATTTTTCGGTAGACTATTTACGAAATTTAGACACTTAAATATACAACATCATTGCTTACTATAGTTTCGTTCTCTAATGTAATTAATTCGAATGTTTTTCATTCGAAGTTGTAAGAATCCTAAATGGATGTCTATATTGATTGTTGATGGGGTTTAAATTTACTATCTAAGTATTTAAATAAGGAATATTTCTCCACTCTTTTACTTTTCATCTCGTTACATTTTCCTTTTACGGTTTTTATTTAAACTATACTTAAACGCTTTTGTATTTGGTTGTGTCTTGTCTATAATGGGACTTTTATCTAGTAATTACTTTTTATCCTAACATTCGTTTACTTTTTACTATTTTTCCTAATAACTAGCTGCTCTATACCTAATCAGTACACAAAAATTGAATTTAACGTATTTTTCAAACTTTGTCGCATTTATCGTCTATTCTTTTTTTATTCTTTCTGTCTAGGTTTTTGTAAGCCAATGGACTTTAAGGTTCAGCTTCTACTTTTTAATCAATATATTTCCCTGTAATTGTGCGAGAAATGATATTATAAATAGTTTCATTGGCTAACGAACAGATATCGAAAACTATTAGTTACCAAAATCATTATATTTCCGTATATTGCATTCAGTATCATACAAATGTTTAGCTATGAACAGTAGCTTAGTTTTTCTAACACCTAAACCTTCAACCACATGTCTGCAAATTCAAATACCCCCCCTATCTATTTCCAACTTGGCAATCGCGTAATATCACCTCTTGAGTTTCGACTGAACGAACAGTGATTCACAACTCACTTGTAATACACCTAATTATTCTCTACCCTAGTTACCAGCAGTTGATATGACGAATAAATGCTCACTTTTGTTGAGTTATTCTATTTAACTTTAAGAATAAGCTTAAATCGAGTCATGAATTCAACCATTAAGCTACTACAATCTTCACAAACTTCCATTCTGATAAGAATGCGATTTATTGGGCTAGATTTAAATTGTACACTTGGTTGAGTAATTCAAGAGTAGAGTTTTAAAAAAGCCGATATAATCATTGTATTAGCAACTCTTAACATATCCTGTGGCTGGCACCTATTTGTTTGGTACAATTACAGATTGATTGATATTGAGGTTTAGATTGTATAGTTTTCACGATTAATCTGGCCATGGTCATTATGCTTACAATTAGCTGACAACCGATGGAAATTAACCCAAACCATTATACAGTAACAAACTCATACTTTAAGGCAAAATAACAAATTCACTAGTAACTTGACGATTGTTTATGATTTTTTATATATATCGGGTTTGATCTATTGTAAAACACATTGGACTGTTTTTCGACCAATTATCTTTCTTCAGATCACTATACCTACTTTGGAACAACTTCTTAATCATCCCAATCAATATTCACTATCTGAAAATATGTCATCTCAGCATTCTGTTAAATCATTTCAAGAAGTTCGTAATGTTCAACCTAATCAATTAGCTGGTTTACAGTCTGCTTTAACCAATCAACAACGTCGAGTTGAATATCTTTCTGAATTGTTAAGTGAAAGTGAAACAAATGTAACTCGTTTATTTGAGCAAAACAAAGTGAGTATGGTATTGCATATTACATATTATTGTTATATTTTAAAGAATTAATTAATATAACACATTTTCATAGAACAAATATTCGGAAAGGGTTCTTGGTATTTGTATGGTTGTTACACATGATTGAACTCTACTGTTCATACTGTAAAAAGCTTGGATGGCTTCTGGTTCTTAAACGTGAAATTGCCCTCTCATAGAGTATATTTATACTTGTAAAATTAATATACGCTAAGTTTCTTTAAATTCGATACACAGAAGTATTTTGTGTAATAAAAATGATACCCAACAATGTAAGTACTTCCATTAAAAAATGCGAATACAATAATAATCCCCACAGCAAAGCATAGAATTTGGTAAATTTGGAAAACTGATTGTAGGCTTCGAATTTTATCACTACGCGTGCTCTTCATATAACTCTGACTGACACAATTGTAGACTAAGTAACTTCACAGTTTTTTTCCTATTGGCACTCTATCTTGGTATAAATTATAGCTTTCTATTACTGGAATAGTTAACTCTGAGAAATATTAAATTTTGTAATTGACTTGAGAAGATCATAAGTACAACTGTTCCATCTATGAGTTACAATTTAAACTGTTTCGGTATTTCATATTTGGCAACTGTATTCATTCACTTTGTGGATATAATTCAACCAGTCTAAATTCATTACTAACATCAAGTTTGTATTATAATCAAATCACTGACAGGTGGCTAACTATTTCACAGTTTATTACTTAAAAATATTCTCTACATTTCATTCAAGATAATATATTAGTATTGATCAAATGAAAAATTTACTGGTTTTCATTTAGAATGTAAATGTAAGTTTTAACAATCGATTTTTGTGAAGTATCTTGCAACATCTGTAAAAAAAAACGTTATCTATGGATCTACCAAAAGTAACGTATTTCACAGCACTCGCAACAACTTTGTTGTCCTTCGATCGAACAAATTTTTTCACTGAAACTTAAAGGATCAGCATTTTTCAATTTGGCTGTTACTATACAACCGTTTAAAACAATCCCTAGATATATACGAGGTGTTCTACTGTCTCCATTGTAAATAAAGGTTCTCTCACTCCGAATTGGGTCACTTGACGTGAACAGTCCAAACTACACAACCTTCAAAACCATTGTCACTATTGGGTATGAGTATAATCACACAATACAATCTGTTTCTTGTCGAAAATAATTATCAGTTCATCAGCTGCGTGCGTAAATTATCATATGACTGGCTAAGATGATAAGACAACATCTACGTGGTACTTTTGTAACACCAACTCAGCAAATAGTTGATTTTGACTGTTTGCTTTTATCACTCCACCCAGAGAATAGTATTTGAGAATAAGAACGGTATTGCATAACACGAGAAAATTTGACACCAACTCACCGATGAAAAAATTAACCATTTTTTCATCAGTTGCCTTTGAAGAAGAGTGTAGGGCGTTAGTTGCTCATCAAGTGAATGTGTATACTCCGACCATGATGATTCCAGTGTGGCAGTTGTCGCTTAGCAGATTCATCAAAAGGATAACTTCAATATTTTCCCCTTTTTTAGAGGAAAATCTCAAGATTGTTTTCAAAAACTTAATATATCTAAACTTACCCTTAGTTTAACGTGAAAGCAACAATGATATCAACAGCTTCTTAACTAGTGAATATCTGCCTCAATACTTATCACAGTAGCTTCTAAACACAACAGATCACTGATAAATTTTCGATTGGTGGCGGTAGCAATAACTATAACGGATAAAAACGTAACATCACGGAGTTGTGACTGCATATATGTATTTGCGATTGTACAGCTTTGAAAATGAATTCGCAGAAAAGAGAACTCTTCGCTGTACTAATCTTTCTTATTTAATTTCTTAATGGGTGTATTCTGTTGATTACTTTTTACCAAAACGTTTACTAACCTTTGTGGATATGAATCCTTTAGTGTTTTTATGTAACTGCTTAAAATCTGCTCTTCACGTAGTTAGATACTATAATAACTTCACGATTATATGCCTTTTAATAGTAATAATGTAATTTTTAAATTATGAGTGAATTAAGTTTGTAATAATGACCATTAAAAAATTAACTATTTCAATCTAAAAACTTGAAAGTGCTCAGCAACTATCGGTTCATATTCATATATGTGTTATTTATCTAATAGATTAACTAGGTGGAGGGAGATATGACAGTTGTTCAAATTCAACTGTTATGAATTAAAGAATTTCAACTATTCAATGTAGATCAGTTTGTAGACGAAATTGGCCTTCATAAATAAATCCATATTATGACCATTAATTTACTCTAGATTGCTTTTATTCTCAATATTCTATTAACTAATATCGATTATTGTTTCAAACAACTGTCATATTAACTAGTAATCGACAATTCACTAATCATTATTAACTTCAACTATATAGCTGATTTTTATTTAATTTAGGTGTTAAAAGAAGAAATTCGACGTCTTGAAAATAATTCCAATCCAACATTAAAAGTACAATGTACAGAAAATCAAGATATCTTGGAATTGAACAACTCTCTTCATAGTAACACTAGTGTACTTGTTGAACATTTGAAAGACATCTTACTGAAAGTTATAACACTACCCAAACAATCTTCAGAACGTAATCATCTCATGCGTGCGTTGGCTACATTTCTTTCTTTGAAATCAGATGAGTTTAAATTATTAGAAGAGGGTTTAAATCACAGTGTTACTTGTTCTACATCTAATCAGCAACAAAATCTCTCTTCCAATTGGAGTAGTTATATCTCTGCAGTTTGGCGTCAGTAAAGAACAATATTTAAGAAGGAAAGCATGCAATATTGCTTTCAAAATAACCTTCTGTGATAAATGTGTATTCTTAGTGACAAATTTTTAATTTACTGGTTGTGTAATATCTCCCTATCAGAAAAATATTTAAAGATCAAATCAACTCCGAATATTTAATCTATGATTTTGTAATTGTGATCATTATAGCATTCTTGTTGTTATATCACATCACTTTGATTAACTCTGTTTGGTTATTTTTTAAAGTTAAAAGCAGTTAGTGTGATACATTCTCTATTTATCTAAACTATTTTTCATATGTATGCATTATTATCTTAACACTTTGAGAAATGAGAAGTGTTTTCTTCACTTTCACTCTTAAAAATTGGTTTTTTCAAAAGTTGTGGAGCATAAATTCCTTAACGAAAATATAATTGCATTATGTTACACGAAATATATCTTACTCAATTCACATTCGGCACTTAATTTTTAGGATAACTGACAAAAAAATACCTTCATAGTGTCGCTGCATAACAAAATCTTAAACGTAACAAGTGTTTCCCTTTATATTCTCCAATTGTGGTAATTGACATTTTACTCTAATACGAGTGAAGTTCAAGTACGATGTTTTACGTTAATGAGTTGTAGTTTGGATGAGTTCTACTAACAAATAAATGGTCTTCTCTATAAAGTGCTTCAAGTCAATATTTGTAGTGCTAACCGCAGATTTAAATTTGCAGGTCGGGCACCTAACTACGGGAAAGTAGCTTGCGTGGTCAACGAGTGCTTGATGTTCACAGGTCAGATAACGGTGACCCTCTCCTGGTCGGACTACACTCTGTTTGCGGCTGAGACCATCTCCTTGTGTAATCACCCTCAATGTGCTGTCTAGCGTCCTGTTAGCAACTCAGGCCGGAATTCAGAATGATCTCACCAGGTTCGCCTACCTCTGGGGTAGTTGTGTACGAAACCGTCAATCTTTTTGGAATAACTATCCGGAACTGGATCATGCTCCGGTTTGCACCAAGCTTAACCTGGACTTTAGTGCCCAGCAAACGCCTGGTCTTGAACTGACTGATACCAGTAAATTGACTGTAACTTCTGTTACAACCGGATATCAGTGTAAGGTTCAAGACTAGCAGTCAGTTCGCGGAAGAGCATGGATAAGCATTGTGCGTCTTCATAAAGCCAAGTCGCTTGCAGTTCAAAAAACCCGTTCATAAGTCCTAGGTTTTTGCAAGCTCGCCCATCCACTCCGACGAACCTCCAGTTTGATGACACGCAGATTTCTACGTGACGGAACTTTATGAAGTTGGCGAACAGCCGAGAAACCGGGTAGTGTAAGCGTGCTAACAGCTTCGAAGCAGCAACTGCATTTGTTACTGTACGGAGTTGTTTGAGCTCACTCGAACAATCGGCAACAAGTCTGGCGTGAAACAATTTGTGAAGTTAGTGGGACATTAGTTAGCAACATCTTGTTTGATGGGGAGTGTTTTCAAGGAACAGTTCAACTGATCTGTTGCACCTACGAGAAGCGTCAATCAGACTATCCTTCCTGGTCGATGACTGCTGATCCACTTAAGTCGGAAATTAGTCAGGAACCTTAACTACTGAAGCCCCACGAGTTACCAGGTCCATGCAATCTTATTTTGGTTCTTTTTAAGGATAGTAGTAGAATTATATTCAAGTAACTGATTGGATTGTTTCGAAAGATTTAGGAATCGGAGTATTCTGATCACCCTGAATATAATAATCTATAACCTGTCAAAGTTGGCGATCCTAATTTGCGTTATCATTCGAAAAACGTGCGAATTTAGCGTAGTAAATTTGAAAGTACCATCCCCAGTAGTCCAGGATTATAAGAATAGGTCCCATTGGTTCAGCTTGAAAAACGACAAGAAGGCTAAAATACCTATTCAGAAAAATACATATCACTTTTATGCATATTAACTGTCAGCTATGTACTTAGTTATGCAGGTAAACTCAGTTCAACGTGTGTGGCCTGATTTCGTTTGACTACTAGGTAGAAATTACTATAACCTCATTACGTCTGTTACTAATTTGTCGCATTTCCCACTACCGGTTGATGTCTGTTCCGCCTTTTTTCGAAATGACTATAATCATTTGCTAATATAGTATAAATTTTACTAAAGCTTCACATAGATTGGCTCAACATTAGTACGAGAAGTGCCCGAATAAACTGTCTGTAATCAAAATAAATCGTACAGCAGCCACTTAAAAATTGAATGTTCATTGTAGCCTAGTGTATTAGGGAAATATGGAACGACAAATCAGTGGCCTGACCACCTTATGTACTTTACTCAAATATACTTGCCTACGCCTGTTACCACTAGTGGAGCATAGGTTGCTCACCAGCATTATCCATAGAACTCTGTCCTGGGCAGTCCTTTCCAGTTGCTATTTATTCTTTTGACGTTTGCCTCGAATTTTGGTACAACATTGTCTTTGGTCTTCCACATTTTCTTTTTCCCTTCAGGGTTCTAAGTTAGGGCTTGCCTCAGAATCCAGCTTCATTTCCGTCCTATCCACCTCGAACGTCTTTGCCTATTTTTTTCAGCTGGAAGTTAACTTGTTCTCATAGTAGGTGGTTGCTGGTGATATCCGACCAACGGAAATTGAGTACCTTGCTTAGACAATTGTTTAGAAATACTTGTACCTTTTTTTTCTGGTTTGTAGTAGTTCCCCACGTTTCAGCCCCGTACAATAAAACTGTGTTGACGTCGATATTGCAGGTACTGACTTTGATATCGGCCAACAGTTGTTTTTAGTTTTATATATTCTTCAAATGTAGGGATGCTGTCCAGGTACATAAAACTTTACATCCCTTGCAGAGCTTCTCTATCAAGTGTGATTGGGTTGGTGCTGTGTTGTATTTCACGACCTTACTTTCTCGCTCGTGTGCGTTGAGGCCTATTACGGCAGAGGCTGCTGATACACTGGCTGTCGACACCTGCATTTGTCGCTGTATATGGGATAGAAGGGACAGGGCGTCTGCAAAGTCCATATTGTCTAGTTGTGTCCAAGCAGTCCATTGTATTCCGTGCTTCTTCTGATATACAAATGTCCTAATAATTCCGTCAACAATCAGAAAAGAAAAGATGAAAGTAGGCAGCCTTTCTGACACCGCTCTTCATTTGGAATGCATCTGTAAGCTGTCCTCCATGCACGACTTTGCAGTGTAGTCCATCGTATAAATTCCGTATGATGTTGATGATCTTCTTAGGTACACCATAGTGTCGAAGAAGGTTCCGTAATATTCTTCTATCCACACTGCCGTACGCTTTGTCATGATCGAGGTTGATGTGGCAATTTCCATTCAACGGATAGCTCGACAATGATCCATAGTGTCAATTTACTCAAATATAATAGACCAAAGATCCTTTTTGGAGTGCTTTCAGTGTATATTGTTTTATAGTAAACAATGGAATTGAAGATTTGCTATATTCGTTAACAACAAAATAACCAATTGTTATTAGTATCAATACCTAAAAATATTCTATCCAGACAAGTGAACGCTATTCCAAGTTTTACAACACGTGGAACAATGCGTCTACTAAAATTATTTACGCATAACTTAGGCATTGTACTCCATTTACATGCCTGAAATGAATACCAATTGAATAGCCGAAAACCAATATCTTAAGAATTTTGGTTATATTACTAACACTAAGTTCACAATGCATGAACTTTTCACATGATTTTCATTTAACTAACTCATTCTATTGACTAAGGTCAACATCCAAATATGATTGGATTAGCACAGTATAGATTTGATTTAATTAGTAAACACTATTTACATTTCTTTAGTGATTTTGATTATTACCCTGAAGAAGTCCAGACAAGTTTGCTGGACGAAACGTTGGAATTATTTAAATTTTAATCGCTGGGATTATTTCAAATATAATTTTCACACATATAATGACTTCTGTATACTCGGCGCCCAATTTTTGTCAAACTATTCGTTCTAATCTTGATTATCGTAACCAATGGTTGGAGACTCTTGGTGACATGGCTCAGAATCGATCACAATGGCGTCGGTGTATACACTCTCTATCTTCCCTTAAACTAAGAGATTAAAATTGCTTCATATCTTTCTTTCTACGAATTAATTCTTTCTTCCTGTACTATATCCTTATATGAAATCTTTCTTTTATATTTTACCACCACTGAATTAACCACTTCTATGAATCCGGTGTTCATCTTGTTGTGATAATGAGGTATGGCAACTTGGACCGATGGATATATATGAGTGGTCCTACGTTGTAGCTAACTGGCTGACGAATATTAGTATAAAATACTAACACTTTTTCTTTAGTTTTGACCAATCTCAAGTGTAAGAGGATGCAGATGTTCCCTGTGAATGAAAGTGAATCGTTTTTTGTGATTTATCAACTATTTCATATTCTGTGCACGAGATTATTTAAATTTCCATCGTTTTCATCTTCATTCTTTTGAAACAGCGGAATAAACAAAAACTTTCTATGATAAAAGAAAATATTTTTAAGAAGTTTTTTTTTTTCAAAACAAAAACTTATTTAAAATAGTCCAATCGACAAATAGTAATTAATTAAAACATTGTGTAGGGAAATAAAGAGAATAGATTAAACTTTACCTATAAATGGGTCATTACAACAAAAACCTATTGCTTGTCATTAAAGTGAACAGAAAAAGAGAGTGTGTAGTAAGAATAAGATAGATGAAAGAAATATCTGCCAAATTATCAACTTGTTTATATTGGTTACGAGGAAATCAAGGTCAAATGATCATATATATATATATATATATATATATATATATATATATACCAATTTGAATCATTACTTAAGCAAAACAAGAAAAAAACTATATCAACGACAATTGATTTGTATCAGTGTAATAGAAAAACAATATTTGTGAGATTGTGAGTAAGTGAAGAGAGAAGACGCTACAAATACAAACATTTTTTTACATACATTTAAAACGGACTACTGGGATTAAAATGCTGTCCCAATAAAATAAAAGAT